AAATATATTGAAAAAACAAAATCTAAAGAAACATTTGTTCTTTGATTAAAAAAATAAAGGTAAAGTTTCGAAAATTGAAAGGATGGAAATTATTCCATTTACTTTTTAAATTCTTTGAAAAGTTTTTTAAGTCCAATTGCAAGATGTAAATGTTTAGCATGAATCATAGTTTTAATATTTTTAGAATCTGTTTTTTATATTTTGGATTCCAAATATTAGAATAAATATTTAACTGAATTAAACCATTTTAAAAAATGATGACAAATCCTTTATATGTTTTATACTATCAATAGAATCAATTAAAACAAATCATACATTCATATTTCATTAGAAACAAATAAATTTTACAATCAAACTACCAAATACAAATGGAATAATTTAACTAAATACAGAAACAAATAAATTTTACAATCAAACTACCAAATACAAATGGAATAATTTAACTAAATACAGAAACAAATAAATTTTACAATCAAACTACCAAATACAAAAATGCTACTACGTTTCTGTACTTTTTTTATTTTTTCACAGTTGATAGAATCCTCCTTGCTCATCACATTGGAGCTAATACCTATTGTTGGCGTTGACAATTTAAAGGTAATCTTTCAACAGAAGGTAACCACATTAACGATGACACATTTGGTTTGAAGCCTGTGGATACTTCTGGGAACTTTGCATTATATTTCTTTATCCAAGTTCTTTGGAGATATCTTGCCAACAAATAAAATACCGGAGCAATATGATTTCTAATTCCTTTTATAACTTGTCATTATGGAGTACCAAGAAATTAAACAACTGTTTCTTCTTGGAAAATAAAAGAAAAAATAATGCTATTGGCATGGTAGATAACTTTAAAGTAATTAGGCAGATGCATTAGTAAAATATGAAATATATTCTCTTTCACAAAAATCACTCAAAACAGGATAAACATAACTGAATTCTGTTTATAGATAAAAATATCATTTCATTGTTGAATAATTATCGATTTATAATTAGCCTTACAAAAAAAATTATTATGCCAATCTTTTTAAAAAGCTACCATGCTTATTATTTTCCAAAAAGATGTTTAGGTAAGATGTAACTATAGTTGAGAATGAAAAAGCAGGGAATTACAATAGCATTCCACCATGGTAAAGGTAAAAGGAAAAAAAATAAATTTATAAATAGAGACAAGTAGTGCAAGTAAGAATGATTAAAAGATGCTAAATTAAACCATCATTATTACTAATTTGAAAATCAATTGTGGTTACAGTTGACACTACCACAGTGAAAAAAGCTACTTGCATTCTATTCATAAACTGAAACACTTCTCTTAAAACACAAATTTGGTAGTTGGTCCAAAATCTGGTGGCTGATCACTTGATCAATATATGAAAATTTTGACCCCCATTTCCTTATCATAATTAATATTGCTGAAGAATAGTCCATGGAGCACAATGGAATGATTATGTGGGGATTGGGACCCTTTTAATTTGCTCTCAAGATCTATGTGTTGGGGTTAAATTGTGCCAACAACCAAAAACTGTAATGCGGTAGGTTTGTTGGTTTTAGGAAAATTATTCATGTATCATTTTTCAAACTCCATTGATATAATTAGAGTAAGAATAAGAAAAAGGAAAATACGATGTGAAGCTACAACTCACTGCTATGGCATAAGAGGTTTCTGGTACATTGTACTCTGTTGGTTATAAATAACTGCTATGGCCTATGAGATTTCTGGTACATTGTACTCTGTTGGTTATATATTTCTTACTCTACGGAAATACTAGTAGATCTTCTCTCATATTAAATTTTCCCATAACCATATTATGTGGAAATTGTTTGTCTATCTTTCTTTTCTTAAATGTGCACAAATTTTAATATGGTCTCACACATTTAATTTGTTTAAAGAAGACAATTTTTCTCATGATATGGTCGTGTAAAAATCCAACATAAGAGGATCTATTTTCCCTTACACTACTAATTTCTTCCATAAAGGGATGTTGCAAAAGCAGCAAATATATCTAAAACTTCCACTAACTATACCTATTCAGCTGCTGGGTTCCTAAGCCAACAAATATTTGTCATCAATCAATCTTGTTCAATGAAGACAGCAATTTTGCTACAAAGAGTGGTAAGAGTTGTCTAAAAGGGACACTCATATTCCCTTCTGTTATGTGGATTCACGCTATGGGTGGTACCTTTCATATTTTGAAACAAATTAGATTCAGGAAAGATCCTCACATTACATCAATGCTTTTATCATGTTTGATGTTTACATAGAGCTGCAATCATTCAGAAAAGGTAAAACTGTGATCAAACTGTTTAACTTCTAAAACTATATTGATCACTATCCTTTTAACTCAACTTAGACATCCCCTCTCAGACCGACCCAAAAATATAAAAGAAAAAGTGTCGTGTTCATATTTATATACTAGTACTAGTTATAACATAACAGCAGCAAAAAAGTATCTTTTGTGCCGAATACGCAGTAAAGTGTTCACATGACATATGCTCTTAACTTGTTGATTAAATAAAAGTTTCATAATGAGAAAGAGAGCGAGGCCTTTTGCTTTGCTGCTACCATGAGTCTCCTTAGCAGCTTTAGCCTGCAAAGCGTGCGACAGAGAAATGGAATAAAAGACAAATAATTAATTTCACCAGCAATAGTGGGGTGAGCTTGGAGAAGAATATTAAGGTTTTGTAGCGCACCTCACGTACAGATTCCAGTTCCAGATTATAAATCTTACATGATTGGGAAGTTGAAAAATCCTTCTATCTTTTTTTTCTTCCAAATTTACCACATCTAATTGAACATGTAACAATAGCAGTGATATTAGAAAGCCACATTGACATGCAAAATTTGTTTCTTTTGTTAACACAAACACACATAAAAACAAAAACAAAACAAAATCTTTAAGGGAGATTATTTAGATTTTTATAAGAGGGGATCAAAGACTAGGCTAAAGAGAAGAAAAAAAAAAGAGAAACGAAACAAAAAGCTCAAGGCAGAGCCCATAAGATAATAATGTAATGGCAACAGCTGGCATTTCTTTTTGTCACTTTTTGGTTGTGCACTGCAGCAATTGGGATATAATAATAGAGGGGAAAGGCACGTTTTCTAGTCATGAAGAAATGGCTGAACTGGGGTTTGAGCCACGGAGAGAAACAACAGTCAAAAACACTTTCGTCTTTTTAAAGTTACATATATTTTACAGGTTGTGGTGGGGTGGGCACACAATTATGCACCAGAGAAACCCAAAACAATAAAATATTTTTAAGCCAGACGAACATTGCAGTAAATTGGAATCTAAACTACAGAAGTGATTATTCACGGATATTGGAAATCCTCACGATTTCGTGCTTCTACTTCATGGTTTAAATTAGCGCCAACCCAACTTACTAAATTCTATGATATGAGATGAGGATTCCTTTCTTTCTTTCTTTCTGAAACAATGGTATCCTGGTGCCGACAATATTTAAACATTAGTACATTGAATTAATATTTTTATATTTAGTTTTAATAGAGTTTTTTCATAAACTTTAATTATTTATCATAATAAATGAATTAATGAAGGTAAATGATTTATTTTATTTCTATGGACATAGTTCAGGGTTTATGAGGCCATGTGATGTGATATACTACCATAGCCACAATTTTGTTCCAAAACATATAGGTGAGGAAAAAAGAAAGAAATGAAAAAAAAGTCTGTTGCTCTGGCTTTCGAGTCGGGGATTGATTAGGAAATCACTTTTATTTCGATTAACATGGAGTAAATTTTATCATGGCCACCATAAATCTAAAAATTGAGTTCCGATTGATGCAAATCTTGAGCATTCAATGGCTTCGAGTGTTCGTTTACAAATATTGAAGTTGAACCTGTAAACATCGTAACTTGGCCTAAAATGCATCGACTTTGTCAATAGACAAAGTTAGAATATAAGAATTTGTGTATGTTGTCTTATAATAAAAATGTGACTTAAGTTTGATTTTAATTATTTTTGTCACATATATATATATATATGGGGATATGAAGTTAGAAACTATTTGTATTAAAATTAGGCTATGGCTATTAATCCATCTCAAGAGCATATGACTTCATCTCTTTAATAAGTACTTTAACAAATTTTAACTCAAATGATAATATATAAATATTTTGTGGGCTCTAATTCTGAATAATGTTAGACTTATTCCTTAGGATTCTTTATATTTTTGACATACTTCCAAACTCCATTAGTTCATCAATCATCGTCTAATTCCAGCAGCGAAAAGAAAATATTATTTAACTTTGCCGTATATTGTTTAACTTTGCCCCCTTCAATAATGTCAAGCCGAAACACAAGTTGTAGTCAAGACTCGGAGAATAGAACACTACTATCGACACCATAAAATTCCAAAATTTGCCCCCGGGCTCCTACGTTCTAACAAGAAAATGGTTAGATATTACTCAATTAGTCATGCCACATAATTCATCTCCATAATTGGGTGTTGGACTTTAAATAAGATCCAGAAATATAATATTACAACAACTGCTATCGGAAATAATTAAGCCATGGGCAGTCATCATGTGTTAACTAAACCTTAAAATTCACCGTATACTGTTATACATAATTATAGTAAAATATCTCAAAACAACAAATGTATTACATCAACCATTAATCAATTAGTAGGAAGTTGTTAAAATTTAATTAATAATTTTGTCAATCTGTTTTAAGATAAACACAATTCCAAATAATTTTATATGGCTATTCAAAGAGAACTAGCTTCCAAGTTTCAATGAAAGATATATATGTTCTAACAAAATTGTTAGATTCAGAAACTGACAAAAGAGAGAAGATTACCGGAGTGAAAATTCTAAAAAGATGAAACACACCGACCTACACCCTGAATCTCAATCAAACTCATTTATCCTAGGAATGATTTCATGATGAAGCTATTTGCTAATCCCTATACGAAATCAGCATACTAAGCTTACTCTTAGATCTAATCTAAATGAGGTAGCATACTGCCAAACTTATCTCAACCCCACCACCCTTTTATTTGCCCTTTATTTCCCTTTCCCTTTCCTTGCTTGTGAGTTCTGACCCAACAGAGGCCACCACGCCCATACCATCCCAATATTCTCTTCCTTTTGGTGGAAGAACCAAAACCACATCCACATTCATTCACTCCACACTCACACACACACGCCTTTCCCTTGGTCACAGAGTGTGTTAGATTAGATTAGACCCTCTTAAACTCTCACTATGACACTCACATTCCCTCCTCCAAGATCACCATTCTTCAACACCCTTTTGTTCCTCTTCACTCTCCTCCCTTGCTACCTATCTCTCCCTGACCCTGATGCAGCAGCAGCAACAGTTCAGCCAATCATTCCAAATCCATCTTCAACAATCCCTGCATTCCCGGAACAAGCTGATGTTGAAGGCTGCCCTCTTAACCTCTCAGATGAGCACTATGAAGGGATAAAAAGAGCATGTGGCTCCAACAAAGATGCTGCAGATACGGAACTCCACCGTAGTAGATGCTGTCCTGTGCTGGCTGCATGGCTCTACTCAGCATACTCAGTCACTGCCCTTAGTGGTGGAATGCAACGTGAACATGCCACATCCTATGACATGCCTTTACTTCCTGATGATTCTGAAACGTGTGTGAGTGACTTGAGGAAGGCCTTGAAAGTTAGAGGAATTAACCTTGTTCAGCCCAATGAGACTTGTGATGTGGTCTATTGCTACTGTGGCATTAGGTTGCACCCTTTGACATGTTCCGAGTCTTTTTCAGCTACTCCAAGTGGGAAAATTGTTGTGGATGAAAGTGTGAAGAGATTGGAGAGGAATTGCTTGAGTAGCAGCACCAATGTTAATAAGTTTCCTGGGTTGGGAGGATGCTCCAAGTGCTTGCATAGTCTCTATTCTGTAAGTTTTCAGCTTCTTCATATTTTGTTTTGGTGGTTTTCTCTTTAATTAGCATTGTTTATTTGGAATTTGATGGATCTTATGCATTTCAATATGATCAATCTAAATCTTCAATCTTCATGCTTGGTGATTGGGAAAGTTGTTTTTTTTTTTCCTTCCTTTACTTGGGATAGTGGTTAGGTTACTCTTGGTTTTTGGTTGGCACTCTCCTTTACGCGCCTTTGGATTTGTGTAGTTCACGAACGTTAATAGAAGTATAGAACCATTAGTAGTGGCACACTAGTAATTTGACAACTAGTGAAATGAACTTCAGTCAAATGATTCGAATGTCTTCAAAACATGTGTGCCTTTAATAGATTAAGCACATGCAATGTCCCCCTATGTTGTCTTCAAAATAATTGGCTCTTAGATTCTTGGTGTTAAGCCATTTGTGTTAGCACTTGGCATAATTTTTTTTTTCTTTTTTATGAGTGAGAATTACAATGATAACAATAAAGTTTAAGTTGAAATTAGTAGTTTCGATTTTTGTTACTCTCTTGTGATAACCTTGATTCTGTCGTGTACAACGTGGTGTTGCTTAGCAGAGAAGTTTTATTTCATAAATGCAAAAAACATTACAATCAATTTAGTGTTATTGTTCTTAGCCTGCTCCGGTCATTAATGATGGTTTAACTTTATAGACATAGTTGTACTTTTAATCCATTAATTTTGCCTGTCACGTGCTGCTACCTCGTAAATTGACTGCGAAGGAGTAAAACTGAGATCTGATTGTCCCTCTGATTCTTCTGAACATATTGCCTGACACATTTTCTGCTTATATAACTCTGTTATTGGCATTAGATGTTATAATATCCAACTATATTTGGAATTATCGTTCCAGTTTCTGATTTGATTTAGCACTCTGCAAAAATGCTCTCGCTTGTGCCTAATTTCCACGTATATAAATCCATGCATTGTTTCAGAATCTTAAATTTACTATTTAAAAAATGTTGGACTTCATTCAAGGTGTTCCAAATGTTGTTCTGGGTTGTTGCTTCACATAAAATAAATCAATCATAGCACAATGTCCCACTAATATAATCTTTACAACCCCGTCTACTTTCTAAGCAAAACTAAAACCTCACATTCCTAGGCCGAATAATTAGTTGGTTGAAATTTCTCCTGTGCATTATTTCGTAGTAGATAACCTTGATGTGCAGCTTTGACAATTTTTCTACGAGTGAATGTTACACCAATGTAACAAGTCTTGATGCACCAAACTTCTTTATGTCCAATGATGTGGCGTTTGTGGTTAATATTCTAATTGAAAGAAATATTGCTTGTACGCAGCTTAGAAAGAAGTCTTCAAATTCAAGCAAGTCAGAAAATAGGACCACCAAGATCCATAACAAAGACTGTGAACTCATGGGCCTAACATGGCTTCTGGCTAAGAATAGAACGGCTTACATTCACACAGTTTCTGGTGTTCTTCGTGCTTTGATGTTGAGCACTGAAGGCTCTGACCCACAATCATGCACTCTAAACAGTGATGGAATGCCTCTTGCCGTTGATTCCTCTGAAATGTTAGATCAATCTTCATCAACCAACCTCCAAGCACTTTCTTTGTTATTTCTATATTTGCTACTAGGAGTTCATTTCACTGTATTATTATCATCCACCTAACTCAAATGAGAACAAAAAGATTGATCCCCAACATGGCATTTTGTAAATTTGGATCTGTGATCTGGTGCTTAGGAGAGTAAGTTTTCTTGGGTGTTAATTGAAATTAGGTTCATGTGTTTGATACAAAATTCATAATGGTTTTTATTTTGGTGGACCTTCATTGCCATGTGATAATAGCGACCAGTGCTTGGTCTTGGAGGGACAAATTTGGATGTACATTTCACTCGTTGTGGTGGCATTATTTTAGACAGTTGTATGTTTCACGGGCGATTTATCACTTAGGGAACGTTTACTTCTTCACCACGATGCTGATATATCTTGTGTTGTCAATTCAACTTGGTTTGTCGTCTGAATTATACCAAGGATAACGACGTAACACGAGTTCAACATGGAGTTAAATAGGGCATGGAAATCGGGGGAATCTGATCAAGGTTTACTTTATCTGCATAATTGCATATTTCCCTACTTAAATTTTAAGATTTGGCTAATTTTGTCTCTCAATCTTTAAATTTATACATTTTTGTTGCTTGTTAAGTGGTTTTCTGATATATTTTTGCGCATCCTAATAGCTCATGTCGTTAATTGATCACCATTGGCGGATCCAAAAAAATATTAGTGAGACAAAAAAAATAGCCTTTAACACGTAAATAAAAATAATGTATAATGAGAAAAAACAAAATTTAATGAGATAAAAAAAATCAAAACACTTAAATTTCTAAGAATTATAATTGCTTTTTACCAAGTTTAAAAATAATATATAATCTGCCTTGTGTATCTAGCTGCGTTAAATCTTGAGGCCAGCTATCCTATCATTTGAAGTGTCTCCAACGTAACGAGGAGATTAGTCACTGCTATCGGCCATAGATACTCCAGGGACGAACAAAAAAAAATAATGTATAACTTTTTCATTGAGAAAAGTATACTATCACAAAAATATTTCATTATTAAACTATTCATCTTCATATAATTTTCTTACATTTATTAAAAAAAATATTATAAGGACAATACCTATTTTTTATGGAAACAATTTTTTTTTGTCAAACATAATAAAGTAAAAACAAAAAATTTCTTCAATACTACTTCACTTATATTTGCTTCATTTGACCACTAATATGATGAATTGAGATTTTTTATTTCTATAACTTTGAATGTATAAATGATATTAAATATTAATAGATTTTTTAATAATTAACATTTAATATTATTTATATGTTTAAAACTATAGAAAATAACAAAAGATGAAGAGAAATAAATAGATAAGATCCAAACTATAATGTGACATAATTTTTCACTAAAAACTATCACATCAACACTATCATTTATATGTTATGTCATCAACTCATACCAATAGTCAAATAATAAGGTCATATACTTAGTTAGTAAATGACAAAAATTGCAAATTCTAAAATTGAGTGACAAAATTCATGAAATCAAAAAATTTGAGTAGTAAAATGTAGAATTAAACCTAAATAATAATAATTATTATTATTAGTAGTAGTATTATTATATAGCACATTTTAAAAATAATAATTATTGATATGTAGATAGCTATCAAAGTTTGTAATAAAAAAACAATCTAACTTGTATATTTATCTTCCAATTTTGAGAATTATAGATTTATTTATCTGTATTATTAATAAAAAAATATTATTTTATTTGATATCCACATTTTTTTTACAACATTGTTTCTAAAATTGTCTCTCAAATTACTCTTTCTTTCTCTACCATTTTTTTTTCAAAATCTATTATTATAATAGCAATTACCCAAAAACTATTCACATCCTCTTATTATTAACCACTTATTATAATAGAATTATGTTAATTAAATTGTCATTTAAGAAAAAATAAAACTACGTGTGAATTTTCTTTAATTATTAGTTTTATTTATATTTTATTCCCAATTTAGTAATTTTGATAAATTTGATCCGAAAATTTTAAAGTTTAAAAATAAATTATTTGTAAATTAATATAAAATAAAAAATTTCACCTTAAATAGTATTTCTTTTGTATGCCAAAATCTCATTTTAGACTCTTTCTCCTTTTATATATTATCTTTGTTCTTATTTATAAGACCAAACTTATAACAATTTTTTTTTATATATATATAAGACTCGTTTCATAGTGTTTGATGTATTAATTTTTTTTAGACTAAAATATCCTAATTAAAACATGTTCTTCTAATTTTATAAAATACATTAATCATAAACTCTATAAAAGTCATACATTCTAATTGGTTAAGAGAATAAGTAATATTAGTTATGAGAGAAAAGTAGTGTATGACATGTACTTTAATTGATTAAGAGAGAAAAATTGTGACACCCATTTACCCTGAATAATTAAATTAAAAAAATAGGTAAAAGTTACTTTTATTCCTCTAAAATTTTTCAAATTCGGTTTTGGTTCTCCAAAATTTTTTTGTATTAAATTAGTCACCCCAAAATTATAACATGTCAAAGTTGGTCTTTTTTTTTTTTTTTTTTAACTCTGTTAGTGGCATTGTCCTACTTGGAAAATGAATGTACACATAAAAAATGAAAAGTTATTTTTAGTCCCTCTAAAAAATTAAAATTCACCTTTGATCCTCCAATTTTTTTCTTTTTTTATTAAATTAGTCTCTATAAAGGTAAAACAAGTTGAGTTTAGTCTTTAAGATATGTTTAAATTGAATTTGGTTCTATATATTTTTAAAAAATATTAAATGTTATCACTTTATCCGACATAACAACATTAATGAAATCAACAAAAAAAAATAACATTAAACATTTTTAAAAAATATAAAATTAAATTAAATTATATAAAAATGAACCAGCCCCTTGGAAGAAACCCTTCTTATGTGAAACTGCACTTTCAAAGATCTTCCAAAAACACTTCCATCCTATACACCTTATACCAAGTGAACCAGCCCCTGATATATTCCCTTCACTGCTGCTCCGTACAACATTTACTCAACAACCCATCGTCCATAGTTAACTATGGCAATCCCCCGCCATACAAGAACAAGTACAAACTTGTTGGGCTCTGCAACGGATTGGTCTGTTTGGGAGGCATCACTCACCAACATAGATGTCAAAAAATTTGGGTCCAGTTTTGGAACCCCGCCACAAGGTTAAGATCCCGAAAATCGCCATGTCACACGTGACTGATGCTGCTATATACAAAGTGGTCACAGTGGAGATTGTGAATAGGAGATCATTGGAAACAAAGTGAGAGTTCATTGCTTGGGTGACAATTGTTGGAGAAAGGCTCTGAATTGGTCTGGTTTTCCCAAACTAACTCAACGTATTGGGCATTATGTGAATGACACTCTTAATTGGGTAGCACAATTTGACATCCTCACATCCCCACAGGAGTTGGTACCATTGAGTATGCGATTTTTTCGTTTGATTTAAGGAATGGACACATAGATATTTGTCGCTGCCTCGTGGTCTTAATCTTGTATGCTATGTTGATCTTCGGGATTTGAGGGATTGTCTATGTCTATCTGTTTATAGTCATCAAAGTCATTGCCCCAGAATTCTTTTTTCTCTTTGGCAAATGAAAGAGTCTGGAGTTGTGGAGTCTTGGACTCCCTTGCTGAAGCTCAATTGTGAGCGTCTTCACATCTTTGATCGTTTCCCTTGTTGGCAAGCAATGAAGGTTTTAAAGTTACTACGTTCAACCGGAGGTGATGGAGTAGAAGAGTGTAGTCAAATTCCCTCCAAACTTGTTCTGCTACACTCCACTAATTATGTTCAAAGCTTGGTTTTGCCTAATTGAATTTGAGCTCCTCCGCAATAGCTGGCTTATCTGAATTTATGTGACAGTTAAGTAAGTGGTTTTTACGTTTTGTAACCTTGCCATTTCATATATGGGACAAGACATATAGTGTGAATATTTTGTGTGGTTCTGTAGGTTGACTAGGTTGATTGTATCAGCTGACGTTATAATAGTTGTATCAAAGTCTTTGGATTTGATGAGGTTATTTTAATTTTCTATTTTTTATAAATGACTATTTTGATTGCAGATTTTAATTAAGATTTTTTCAATTTGAGGAAAGCCCTTTCATTATACACAGAACAGCATACAGAGAGGAAGATGAGAAGAGGGAAAACCATTGTACGGTTCGCATACCCACCACATATAATACAAAAGAAACTAAAATTATTTTTATCTTTCTTACTCAATTTCGCAACAATGAGAGTAAATTTTTAATCCTAAGCACCTATCAAATTTTCCACTAATCCCACGGGTGCTTTTTGAATATACATTCTAATGTATCCCGCTCCATGAGAATTCTCACTAAATGCAGCCCACCAGGCAGGGAATTAAGAAATTAAAGTGAAATTTTTTAAAAAAAAATAAACTAAACCCTAAAATAAAAATAAGGAATTAAAATTATATATATATTTATATAATGGTATAATAATAGTATTGAATAACACGATAAGAAGTAGTAGTGATCAAAATTCAAAATGAAAAAAAAAAAAAAAAGGCGAGCCGTGGCACTCGCAGGCTCTGTTCAGAGTTCACAGGAGCCACAGACAGCAATGACGGTGAGTGATGGTGATCTAAGAGGCAAGCAAAGATGAAAAAAAAAGAAGCAGAAGAAAGATCCGTTTAAAAGCGGTGAGTGGAGGGAACATCAGCAAGAGAAGGATTACAAGAGATATGCATATGATGATTATGAACAAACAAGTGCAATTGCAATCAACGACAAACAGGACACAAGACCAAGCCATTTTCGTTGCAATGACTACACTTAACCACCAGCGTCCTCCCCTGTTTCCTGGGCACAAGAAGAACGGTCTTGCAGCTACCGTTGCAGTGGGAGCAAGGCAAGAACCTCATGTCCCCGCAACCGTGGCAAACGGCCCCAACCTTCTTCCTGGGCAAACCCTGGAGAAGCTCCCCCAAGAGACCCTCTTCGGCGACCTTGAGCATTTCGTCGGCGCCGCCGATGTATAAGCCCTTGACGAAGACTCTGGGAGGAAGCATGGCCTCCCTCTGCTTCCCCTTCAATAGAACCCTGAGCTCCTCCCTGAAGGCGCTGTGCATGGAGACGTCGCGCTCGCAGACCAGGAGGCCGAGGGCCTCGAAGGCGGCGCGGACGGCGTTGCAGGCCTCGAAGGTTTTCCGGACGCCGCGCAACGACGTCGTGTGGATGACGACGCGGTTCTCGCCGTTGGGGGGGCAGAGGGTGGGGAAGTGTAGTTTGGGGGAAAAACGGAAGCTTTCGGTGTCGAGGCCGGACATGAGTTCCCATGAGTTAATGACTTCGGGTTTTGGTTCGGAAGGGAAGAGGGAAGCGAGGGTGAAGCGCGGGGGAGGATTGGAGGGTGGATCGAGGGTGAGGAGGCCGTAGGTGGTGGAGGTGAGTGAGACGATGTGGTGGCCCAAGGCGGAGGAACCTAGTTGGCTCAACTCTTCATCTTGGTTTAGCAAATTGGAGGAGACGCACCCCATGGCACTCTCACTGTTACTCTCAGGAATGAATTGTGAATTGTGAATTGTGAATTGTAAATTGTGAATTGTGGCTTTCAATTTCATTTGTCGGATTCAATTTTGAAATGAAGCAGGGCCCACGGATCAAAGGAGCTTTGCTTATTTAAACTTTAAACTGCATATTCCCTCCATTGCTCTCTTCTTTTTTTAATATTTATTGTCCTTCCAAATTCAATACACTACTCGTGCTACACGTGTACCGTCAGCGTCGCTTCAAATTGGATGTGTCAGGGGAATTCATCTTACTTTTTTATTTTTATTTTTATTTTATAACGATAATATCTAATTAAAATTTTAGACTTTTATTTTATCGTGTGATTAAAATACTATTACAAACTCCAAAAATTAAAAGATACTTACAATCATACATTATTAACTATATTTTGATGAATTTCTTTAATAGTGTGTGTTTGATTAGGAGTGAAAAACTTTATACACTAACTTGACCAAGATAAACTTAATAACTTTTAGCTAAATAACTTATGAAAATAGTTACAATGTCTTTTATATATTTCAAACTATGAAAATTGAGAGGATCCTTACTCCAATAATAATTTTACTTGATTTGAACAAAATTAACTTTAATAAAAAATATATATGATATGGGAAAAAAAAAACTTATAAAACTACTAAGTTTTAATTATTTTTATTCGCATTAATTTATTTGAAAACATTTTTATTCACATTAATTTATCTCGTTTTACATTTATTTACTAATCTAATGGTATACTTATAAGTTCTCGCCGATTACTTACAAGCCATAAATAAATTTATGTAGCATTGGATTACAAGTGCATGGGAATGGAATAGAGTTAAATTGAAGGATCCAAGTTGGCACATAAAACCGATGCGCGGGAAGTATAACCTGAGACATTTACATAGCAGCAACTTCCGAGTTGAACGACCAATCAATTATCCAAAACCCCAAAGAAAAGACCCACACTTTGTAAAATGCACCAAAGCCATCTCCACCCACATGCGCAATGGCCACTGCGACTTGGCTCTCCGCGTCTTCGACGCCATGCCACTTCGAAACTCTGTCTCCTACAACGCAATGATATCTGGGTACTTGAGGAACGCAAAATTCTCCCTTGCAAGGCACCTGTTTGACAGAATGCCCCACAAAGACTTGTTTTCCTGGAATCTAATGCTTACTGGATTTGTCAGAAATCGCAGACTCCGTGATGCCCGCGTGTTGTTTGATTCAATGCCCGAAAAGGATGTTGTTTCCTGGAATGCCATGTTGTCTGGTTATGTCCGGAGTGGGCACGTTGAAGAGGCTAGGGAAGTTTTTGATAAGATGCCTCTCAAGAATTCCATCTCCTGGAATGGGTTGCTTTCAGCATATGTTCAGAGTGGGAGACTCGAGGAGGCTCGCCGGTTGTTCGAGTCTAAATCCGACTGGGAATTGATTTCTTGGAATTGTTTGATGGGTGGCTATGTGAAGAGAAACATGTTAGGTGATGCTAGTAAGCTTTTTGAGTTAATGCCTGTTAGGGATGTGATTTCCTGGAATACCATGATATCAGGTTATGCACAGGATGGAGATATGTCACAGGCTAGGAGATTGTTTGAGGAGTCTCCAGTGAGGGATGTCTTCACGTGGACAGCGATGGTGTATGCATATGTGCAGGATGGGAACTTGGATGAAGCGAGGAGAATTTTTGAGGAAATGCCACATAAAAGAGAGATGTCATACAATGCAATGATTGCCGGTTATGTGCAATACAAGAAAATGGACATGGCAAGGGAATTGTTTGAGATTATGCCTTTTCCAAATACAGGTTCGTGGAATATCATGATAAGCGGCTATTGTCAGAGCAGTGATATAACGCAAGCCAGGAACTTGTTTGATATGATGCCTCAGCGTGATTCTGTTTCTTGGGCAGCTATTATTGCTGGTTATGCTCAGAACGGTCACTATGAAGAAGCTATGAACATGCTTGTGGAGATGAAACGAGATGGAGAAAGTTTAAATAGATCTACCTTTTGTTCTGCTTTGAGCACATGTGCTGATATTGCTGCTTTGGAGTTAGGGAAACAAGTTCATGGGCAGGTGGTGAAGACGGGGTATGAGAATGGCTGTTTAGTGGGGAATGCACTTGTTGGAATGTATTGTAAATGTGGCTGCATAGATGAAGCTTATGATGTGTTTGAAGGAATACAACATAAAGATGTCGTCTCTTGGAACACAATGTTAGCTGGTTATGCTAGGCATGGATTTGGGAGACAGGCTTTAACGGTATTCGAGTCAATGATCGCAGCAGGTGTTAAACCTGACGAGATTTCCATGGTAAATATTTTACTCATTTATTATGCATGAATAACTCCTTATCTAACTGTATTGGAAGAATTACTGTCTTTACTCTTCATTGCTTCCTATTTAACTTCATTGTATTTTAACTTGCACATAACTGGTTTATAACTCAATTTTCTTAATTAATTCGGTTAAATCATCTTCAATGGAAATGCCTAGGATGCTACCAGGGATTCTCTGAATCCAGTCTGAAATCTGACTACAATTTCCTAGAAGGGAACAAAGCTTATGGTGTGTTTGAATGAAAAATTTTAGAAATTCAAAGAATTTGAATTACTTTGACTTCAATTTCTTTCATTCTTTAAATGTCTTGTTTAGACAAGTCAATTCAAATTTTTTTTAATTTTAAATTCTTAGTTTGGATCAGACAATTTAATTTCAACCATAGATAGAATTGAATTTAAACAAATATATATTGAAATTTTAAGATTTAACTTTATAAAACTAAATATTAGCCTATTTTAAAATATTTAATAATTTTTAAAAATAATGTTTAAGAATTTAAAAATAATTATGAATATTCAATAATTAAAAAAAACTTTTGATATTTTTTATGTCGACTTTAAAAGAAAGAAGAGGGAGGTAAGACAAAAAAAGAGAAAGAAGAATTTTAAATTTTTACTTTTTTAAGAGAATTTGAAATTTTACAATTTTAAAGAATTTCACAAAATGCTTGAATTTCAAATCCTTTGTAAATTGTACATCTAAACAAAGTATTTTACACCAAAGCATTAAGAAATTCTTCAAAAAATTGAGTTACTCCATTAAAATCTCTCATCCAAACACATTGTTAATGTTTTCATTTTTTATCTATTGATTTTCATCCCAGTAGTGTTTTGTTTTACATTGTCATTTTGTCCAAAAGGAAGTTGACACTGCCATAATATATGTTGTTAAGAATGTTTGTTAGCAAGATGCCCCCACTCCACCACACCTGATATTATGTCAACATAGTTGACTTCCCAAACTTAGATATGAATTATATATCATATATGTAGTGCATGCTTTAAAATTTGTTGGAGACGAAATACTTTATTGAAAGTACAACAGAAAGCAGATAGAGCAAGAAAAAGGGAGATATAGCATAATTTTTAAGAGAAACCTTCCATGGCTTTAGTTATATGAATAGACTGCATGCCTACAACTTTTTCCTTATTCATCTCTTCACTTTTCCTTTCTTTGTCTACTACATCTTTAACATGGATAGGAAAATTAAGTTAGAATGGGCCAAATGCAGGCAATAAGTTCAATTGCGAAGGATAATCTTATGTGTGTTCTGACCGTTATCTTTTAAGCTATCAAACAGGTAGTCCTTGCATTGATACGAGTCATACAGTGCATACTGTGTTTACCTCCTCTATTTGGTATTTTCGTTTCTATAGTTATCCTTATCTTCGAGCTAAGTTTTCTTTTCGCAGGTGCAAATGAGCTTATTAATAGTTGCTTATGTGGCCAGCGGTTTCCTTATTGTCATGTATACAAATATGATCATAATCATAAAGCATTGGGAAATAAATTAGGAATAGGAATTCATAATATTATTGTTTTATCTAGAATGAAGTAACTTGCCTTTTGACTCTTCTACAATAAAAACATTCTGCTTATTCTTTTTTAATCATGTTTCAGGTTGGTGTTCTGTCTGCTTGCAGTCATACTGGCTTGACAGACAGGGGTACTGAATATTTTCACTCGATGAATAAGGATTATGGTATAACACCAAATTCAAAACATTATACTTGCATGATTGATCTTCTCGGTAGAGCTGGCCGTCTGGAAGAAGCACAAAACTTAGTTAGAAACATGCCTTTTGAGCCAGATGCTGCAACATGGGGTGCTCTATTGGGTGCAAGCCGGATTCATGGCAACATAGAACTGGGTGAGAAGGCTGCTGAGATGGTTTTTAAGATGGAACCTCATAACTCGGGAATGTATGTTCTTCTTTCAAATTTATATGCAGCTTCTGGCAGATGGGTCGATGTTGGTAAGATGAGATTAAAAATGAGGGAAGTTGGTGTTGAGAAAACACCAGGGTACAGTTGGGTTGAGGTACATAACAAGATTCATACATTTACAGTTGGGGATTGTTTTCACCCAGAAAAGGGTAGAATATATGCCTTCTTGGAAGAGTTGGATCTGAAAATGAAACGTGAGGGGTATGTTTCTTCAACAAAATTGGTTTTGCATGATGTGGTAGAGGAGGAGAAGAAGCATATGCTCAAGTATCACAGTGAGAAATTAGCTGTAGCATTTGGAATTCTGACTATACCGGATGGCAGACCAATACGTGTCATGAAAAACTTGCGAGTGTGTGAAGACTGTCATAATGCCATCAAACACATATCCAGGATTGTTGGAAGGTTGATTATCGTAAGGGATTCTCATCGCTTTCACCACTTTAGTGACGGTATTTGTTCTTGTGGGGATTATTGGTAACAGTGGAGAAATATGACCTAAATTAGCCCAATTTATAAGTATAGATTGTACCCTCCCTTGAGCTTAATTATAAAATATTTTATCGTGAGAGATAAATAATCATTAACAAAATTTAAATTGATAAAAAATTATTTGAAATGATTTAAAGTAAATTGTACTATTCTCCTTGAGAAATGATTAAATTACACTTTATTTTTAAAGTTGAACCCTTTTTCTTCGAGACATGAAAAATGTGTTCCACTTTAATATGAAAGACTCTTGTAGGGGCACTTTTCCTCTTTTTGCTAAACTTAACATTATTGGCAGCTAATTTTGAAGGGAAAACTTAAATAGAAATGTTTATGCATATTTGCCATTTAATTTCAAATCAAACAACTACACTTGATTTATTTTTAATATCAAATAATAACTTTTAGGGTAAATTATTTATTTAGTCTTTTCATTTATTTTTTAATTTTAATTAAGTTTTAGTATTTTTAAATAAGACAATTTATTCTTACTTTTATTTAATTAATATTAATATTTAATTTTCGTTGCTCCAATTTAAATAATTATAGGGATTTATTATATTTCTTTTAACTAATTTTTAGTAAAAAAAATTGCTTCTTCTATTGGGTCATTTCATTCCTAGGATCGTCGTTCCGATTCAATTGTCAATATTCCACACCGTTTTCTTCATTGCTGTTTTTGTTGATGGTTGCTCTAGGAGTCCAACTTCTTCGTTGGTCCTCCTCCCTTCCCCTTTTACCTTTTATCGAATCTGAGGCTATTGTTTCTGATGCTAAATTGTTATGATGTCCTCATGCTTGCTGCAAAATTAGGTTCCTAATGCTTCTCCAACAACATCTACAGGATAAGGGAAATGAAGAGTTTTGTGGTGTGGTAGGGCAATCACCTTCTAAGGTTTTGTGTCGTTGGATGGAGGGTAGATCTTCAGAGAAGTCGTTGAAGAATAAACAAAACACCACGTTGTCATTAAATATTCAATCAATTAAATAAAAGTGAGACTAAAATAGTTTATTTTAAAACAATAAAATAAAATTAAAATAAATAAATAAATCAAATTAATAATTTAGCTTAACTTTTAACTATTAATTTTGACTTGAAAGATGCTGGCAAGTTTTGAACACACGAACTCTATTAACATAATCTCAAATTAGTGATATTATGTTAAAGGAGTGGTATTAAATTTATGACAAATTTATAAATAAGGACTAATTAAAAAAAACTTTTTTCTGTGTAAAATTAAATGAGTAAATATACAATTTTATCTTTAGAAGTTTCGAGGAGTGTTTATTTGGTCCGTAAAAATTTGTGTATATAATTTAGTTTCTAGATAAGTGATAAATTAATTATTCTCTTTTAACATAATCTCATATAAGTGAGTTTCATAATAATTTAATTAAGAAATGGATTTGTTTTGGATCTAAATCCAAAAGATAGATCATCACTCTTCTCCATAATCAATATAAATAATAAAAAATAATTTTTTTATCAATTATTTTAACTTAGATGTGCATTAAAATATTTCTCTAGTTGAGATGAAATTTTTTTTTTACTCCTTTAGATATAGATATGATACAAAGTAGTTATACTTTACAAAATCAAAAAATAATAATAGTTTGATTTCTTTATAAATTATATACGCACAATTTTTCAAAGAATAAATTAACACAAATTGTTCAAGTATGATTGTAAAAGCAAAAGTTTAAAAGAACACTATTAAATACTAACTTAAAAAAATATTTCAATATGTACATTTTATTTAAAGTAATTAAAATTAAATATAAATAAATACTTAACAATTAGACTTTAGAACTTTTAAGTAATTATAGAAGCTAAATAATTATTTATGAATAATTTTAAAAAAAATAAAAAATTAATCTATAACTATGAAAAAAAATAATATATTGTTTTGGTATCCATATTTTCTAAACTCTTTTATCTCTCGACTAATATTTACAGGAATTCAGAGTTTAAAGAATCATAGATTACATCATCCATTCTCACGTCCAAATGTTCTTTCATTTTATATTTATAATCGTACCACTATTATAAAATTAACTACACATTTTCATATTATTATCTTTTTTATTAATTTTTTAATTTTTAAAATATTAACTAGTGAGTTTCTAATTTTTTCTAATATAAATAAAGATAAATATATTGACATAGAAGTTAACAGAAGAGTTACAAAAAAGTGTTTTTTCTATTAATAGGCACGAGCGGCAAAAGTTGAATTAAACCAAGGACTCACGAAACTGCATCATCGTTGGTGCTACTATACCATAATCGTCGCACCGTTGGTGTTTGAATAAGTTCATGCATGCTGAAAACAGCGCCTGTAGAAACATAATTCGTGAATAGTTAGTATGGTAGTTGATGAACACGTTCAACATAATGCACCGCAACTATGTTGTGAGACACTTGCGTACGTGCATCTCTCGTTCTCTTTCCACGAGTATGAGACGAAGCAGAAGCAACAACTCCGTCAAAGTCAAAGTCAAAGACCCTGACATTGTGTCATGGAACAAGGCCATTTCCGTCCACATGCGCAATGGCCACTGCGACTCCGCTCTCCGTGTCTTCAACTCCATGCCTCGCCGAAGCTCAGTGTCCTACAACGCCATGATATCTGGGTACTTGAGGAACGCAAAGTTCTTCCTTGCAAGGGAACTGTTTGATCAAATGCCTGAAAGGGACTTGTTTTCCTGGAATGTTATGCTCACTGGGTATGTCAGGAATCGCAGACTCGGCGAGGCCCGCAAGTTGTTTGATCTAATGCCTGAAAAGGACGTTGTTTCCTGGAATGCCATGTTGTCTGGGTATGCCCAGAATGGGTTTGTTGATGAGGCAAGGGAGGTTTTTAATAGGATGCCTCATAGGAATTCCATCTCATGGAATGGGTTGCTTGCAGCTTATGTTCATAATGGGAGACTTGAGGAGGCGCGTGGCTTGTTCGAGTCCCAGTCGGAATGGGAATTGATTTCTTGGAATTGTTTGATGGGTGGGTATGTGAAGAGAAACATGTTAGGTGATGCTAGGCGGCTTTTTGACCAAATGCCTGTGAGGGATGTAATCTCTTGGAACACTATGATATCTGGTTATGCCCAGGTTGGAGATTTGTCTCAAGCTAAGAGGTTGTTCGATGAATCTCCGATTCGGGATGTATTCACTTGGACAGCAATGGTGTCTGGATCTGTGCAGAATGGAATGGTGGATGAAGCAAGAAAGTATTTCGATGAGATGCCTGTAAAAAATGAAATTTCTTACAATGCAATGCTTGCCGGCTATGTGCAATGCAAGAAAATGGACATTGCGAGGGAGTTGTTTGAGGCAATGCCTTGTCAGAATGTAAGTTCTTGGAATACCATGATTACTGGCTTTGGTCAGAATGGTGGTATAGCTCAAGCGAGGATATTGTTTGACATGATGCCTCAGCGTGATTGTGTATCTTGGGCGGCTATTATTGCTGGTTATGCTCAGAATGGTCTATATGAAGAGGCCCTTAACATGTTTGTGGAGATGAAACGAGATGGGGAAAGTTCTAATAGGTCTACTTATAGTTGTGCTTTGAGCACATGTGCTGATATTGCTGCCTTGGAGTTAGGGAAACAAGTTCATGGGCAGGTTGTGAAGGCGGGATTTGAGACTGGGTGCTTCGTGGGAAATGCACTTCTTGGGATGTATTTTAAATGTGGCAGCACAGATGAGGCTAATGATGTTTTTGAAGGAATAGAGGAGAAAGATGTCGTCTCTTGGAACACAATGATAGCTGGTTATGCTAGGCATGGATTTGGCAGACAGGCATTAGTTTTATTCGAGTCAATGGAGAAAGCAGGTGTTAAACCCGATGAGATTACAATGGTACTATACATTCTATTCATTCATACGCCTTTAGATTTTTTATTTAGAGCCTATCATTTGCATGAATTTACTAATTTTATCCTGTTATGTGCAAGTTTGAACCATAATCATCTGTATTTCTTATTTTACTCGATTACATTTTAATTTATTCATGGCTGGTTTCCAAGTTAATCTTCTGATTGAATTGTTCTTCACCAATACGATAAAATCATCTCCTATGGAAATGCCTAGTTGCTAAAATAGTCCATTTGCGCTATATGGAGCCTCTGAACCCAGTTTCAATATAATTTCTTTGAACGAATTAAAGCTTATTGTTGTCCTGCAACTTCTTGCCTAGCCCTTGTCTGTCTTTGTCTTTCTTTTCATCTTTTGTCAATATCATCAACTTGGATAGGCAAATTCAATAAGAAATGGTACTCAAGCAATTGTAGACAAGTTTATTTGCTTAGTATTATCTGCCTTGTGTTATTGAACCTCTTAGCTTTATTTATCTTATAAGATTTCAGATAGGTGCCCCCTGCACTAATAAAAGTTTCCCTTTGTTTACCTTCTCTATTTGGTATTTTCATTTTTACTGTAAAGTTTCTTTCCGTAGATACAATTGAACTAATAGTTGCTTAAATGTTTTCCTCTTTGCCCTGTAAACTATCAATAGGCAATAAGAAATGAACTTAAAGGATCCATTAATGTTTTCTCTACAAATCAGTAATAGCATGCCGTTTGTTTACCCTTTGTCCCTTTCCAATGTTATAATTCTGCTTATTCTTCTTCTGATCGTGTTGCAGGTGGGCGTTCTGTCTGCTTGTAGTCATTCTGGATTGATAGACAGGGGAACTGAATACTTTTATTCAATGAATAGGGATTACAATGTAACACCAACTTCAAAACATTATACTTGCATGATTGATCTTCTTGGAAGAGCTGGCCGGCTGGAAGAAGCAGAGAACTTAATGAGAAACATGCCTTTTGAGCTAGGTGCTGCATCATGGGGAGCTCTACTAGGTGCAAGCCGGATTCACGGCAACACTGAACTGGGTGAGAAAGCTGCTGAGATGGTTTTTAAGATGGAACCTCATAACTCAGGGATGTATGTCCTTCTTTCAAATCTATATGCAGCTTCTGGCAGGTGGGTTGATGTTGGCAAGATGAGATCAAAAATGAGGGAAGTTGGTGTGCAGAAAGTAACTGGGTATAGTTGGGTGGAGGTACAAAACAAGATTCATACGTTCGCAGTTGGGGACTGTTTGCATCCAGAAAAAGAAAGAATATATGCCTTCTTAGAAGAGCTAGATTTGAAAATGAGGCTTAAGGGGTATGTTTCTTCAACAAAATTGGTTTTGCATGATGTGGAAGAGGAAGAAAAGGAGCACATGCTCAAGTATCACAGTGAGAAATTAGCTGTTGCATTTGGAATTCTGACTATTCCTGC